TTCCATCACAATGACAGTTTATGACTGTTCAGTAAACCATTCGGCCCGCGATTTAGGCTGGATTTTAGATTTTGGCCCCTTCTCTGATTGAGTTCGACACCCCTACTTTAAAGGAAGGCCGTTTGGGGCAGTGGGAATGGGGGGAGAGGGGGATGTTACCAGGCAAATCCCCTTACTAGTGTAGATCAGGAAATTCCAAACTGATTTGTATAAAATGCTGCTCCTGGGACAGGCTGAAACTGCAGTTAGATCAGGTGTTAAATCTAGGGTTGGTATCCTGGGCTTTTAGCACCAGTGAGGCCATCTTGGGCCTGTGGGATTCTCTCTCGTGGAGTCTTGGAGAGCCACGGAGGACTAGTTTACCCCTCTTATCTAGAATACTTACTGAAAACACACACACTCCTGCTCCGGTAATACCTCACATCGCGAAAGTTCTCTTTTTCCAGATTATGATTTTTCTTTTCTTCTTTCTATTATGATGCATTTAAAAACTTCATAAAAAATAATCCAATAACCAACACTTTCATTTCGTTTCAATTTCATTAATGATTTTGTCAATGAGCACATGTATATTTATCTAGTTTGTAGATATGAGAACTACCAAACCTGTAGAGAATTTTTATAATCATTTATGTGAGCCAAACAGAGGATACACCTGGGAACAAGATCTCAACAAGCCGAGGGCCCTCTCCCTCTCAGTAGCTCGCCTTCGCCTTTCCTTCCCCCTCCCCCCCCCCCCCCCCCCCCCCCCCCATTACCTCTGCGTTTCTCTCTCCTAAGCAACAAGGGCACATCTACTATCTACTACCTCTGTAATTTTCTAAATCAACTTTCTCTTACAACAACAACAACAACAACAAAAACGATCTCAACTGCCTGAGAAAAATGATTCAGCAAATAACAGTTTGCAGTTTCTTTTATGCATAAAGAGGGAAGTAAGGAAGATTGCATGAAGACGAGAGAAAGCAAGGTGGAATCAGATGAAAGGATAATTAGGATTATGAGCTCTCACGAGGGTGGTCACGCATTAGAAGGAGAGGTATTTGGAAAGAGGTATTTCAAAAGCCAGTTAACCTAGATGCACAGATATAATGGACATAGACATCATGGCCACTTGAGGCACAGATAAGCCTTTTATAGGCCTGGATGTGACTGTCCACCATGACTTGCCCAGCTAGGAATTTACGACCAGATCACCCTGTGAGATTATATTCCTTAGAACCCCTTTTCGGTCCACAAGTCTTAATCTGTATCAGTGTTCTGTTTTGTGTCCAGCTTCTTTTAACATAACATTATTTCTTGTGCAATTTCATGTTTTTCCACACTAGGTATTTGTTATTCCGTGATAATGCTATATCCCAGTTATTGGGTATTTGGATTGTTTCAGCTTTTTGCTAAGCAACACTGCTATGAACATGTTGGTGCAAACTCCTTTATCTCTTCTTTTCTTTTTAAAAAATATATTTTATTGATTTTTTACAGAGAGAAAGGGAGAGGGATAGAGAGTTAGAAACATTGACCAGCTCCTCCTACACACCCCCTACTGGGGATGTGCCCGCAGCCAAGGTACTTGCCCTTGACTGGAATCGAACCTGGGACCTTTCATTTCGCAGGCTGATGCACTATCCACTGAGCCAAAGCGGTTTCGGCTCCTTTTTCTTTTAGAGCTCTTTGGTATGGACTCCCAAGGCAGGATTTCTAAATCAAATGGAATGAAAAAAATTACATGTGTTTTAGGCTATTTTCTGGAAAATTGATCTGCTTAGAGTTGCCCAGACCTTTTTTTTTTTTTTTTTTTTTTAATCTTATTGATTTCAGAGAGGAAGGAAGAGGGAGAGATAGAAACATCAATGATGAGAGAGAATCGTGGATTGGCTGCCTGCTATATGCCCCACAATGGGGATGGAGCCTGCAACCTGGGCATGTGCCCTGACCGGGAGTCAAACTGTGACCTCCTGGTTCTTAGGTCAATGTTCAACCACTGAGCCTCGTTGGCTGGGATGCCCAGGTCTTTTAAACCACTTCCCTGTGGGCTTGTCCTCTCCTCTGGTGGGGGAACTTCCAGGGAGGAGAGCCTTCCGAGTGATGACATAGGGAGGAAGGCATCATGGCCACTTAAGGCTGAGGAATGCATGCTTTCTCTGGTTGGCAGCTTCTGAGTGGAGGCTGGAGTTTGGAATGTCGGCAGAATGGCATCATATGCCCCCCGATTATACAAGGAATCTAGCTTCCCTCCCCCCACGGTGAGGTGTTTACAAGTCAGGTAGACATTGGGAGACTGAGATTTAGTATGCTTTTCTCAGTATAATCACAGATATTGAAGACATTTTTAATAAGCAAATATCAGACAAGCAGAGGGTTTGCTGTCTGAATTCTTTTTTTGGAACCTGGCCATTAATGGTCAGGCAAGTTCTGGCTGCATCATATGCCCAGAGCTGCCTCTGTTATCTTTGATCCTGGCTTCGTTCCAGTTTGGACAAGCATTGCCTCTAAGTCCCAATTAACTCCTTGTTGCTTCCTGCTCCAGGCTGGTATGCAGCTCTGAGAGCACCTGCTTCGCTCCGCCCAGGAGGCGGCGGGCTTCTATGGGGGGTGAGGCGGCAGCTCATTTGGAAAGCGCTCTGAGGAGCTGCTCTGCCATCTGTGTTTGGTCCCGGAGGAGCTGCTCCTCAGAAAGGAGTAGCGGGGAAAAGCACAGACCTTGGGGCAAGGACCTGGGTTTGAGTTTTAGCTCCAAGTAACCTTGGGAAGGTCACTCATCTTACCTTGTTTTATTTTGTTTTCATATTTATTTGTTTGTTTATTTTTTGTGTTAATCCTCACCTGAGGATATTTTGTTTCATTGATTTTTTTTATTGATTGATTTCAGAAAGAAAGGGAGAGAGAGATAGGAACATCAATGATGAGAGAGAATCATTGATTGGCTTCCTCCTGCACAGCCGCTTCTGGGGATCGAGCCCACAACTTGGACATGTGCCCTTCACCAGAATGGAACCCAGGATCCTTCAGTCCACAGGCTGATGTTCTAACCACTGAGCCAAACCCGGCTAGGGCTCCATTGAATTTTAGAGAAAGGAAGGGTGGAGAGTGGGGGTTGGGGAGAGAAAGAAAGAGAGAAAATCAATGTGAGAGAGAGACATCCATTGGCTGCCTCCCACTCCAGCTCTGACTGGGGTTGGGGATAGAACCTGCAACCCATGTGCACGCCCTTGCCTGGGAATCGAACCCGAGACCCCTGGGTTCATGGGCCAACAACTCTAACCACTGTGACATACTGGCCAGGACCTCCCTTGGATTCTTCATCTGTAAAATGGATTGTTGAGAGGCTCAAAAGATAGAATATAGATGAAAAGTGTTCACTAATTCTAAGGCACTGTATAAATGTTCTTAGTTAGTTTCCTGGTGAACTACTGTCCTCTGGATACCTCACCCTTAATGTGGCCCAACTTTTAAAATATGATCCTAATAATTTATTTGTAATCATAGTTATAACAATAACTAACATTTATGGGATGTCTACTCTGTATACATTATCCCAGCTCCTTCACTTAATCTCTCTGAACCTCAGTTTTCTTTTTTTTTTTTTTAATATATTTTATTGATTTTGTACAGAGAGGAAGGGAGAGAGATAGAGAGTTAGAAACATTGATGAGAGAGAGTCATCGATCAGCTGCCTCTTGCACACCCCCTACTGGGGATGTGCCCGCAACCAAGGTACATGCCCTTGACCGGAATCGAACCCGGGACCCTTCAGTCCTCAAGCCGACGCTCTAGCCATTGAGTCAAACCGGTCTCGGCTGAACCTCAGTTTTCCCATCTGTAAAATCTACTTTGTGACTCAAGTGGTGATTAAATGAACCAATTTAGCATAGTGCCAATCACATTTAGGAAGCACTCAAAAAGTGTTGGAATTATAAACATTATATTATTCCATTTAATTGTCATTGCTTTGGGAAAAAAGTAATATTTTTATCCCCATATGACGGATGAAGCATTTGGACGCAGTGAGTTAAGTACATGCTTTATGTACTTATGTTTTGCAGAATTAGGATTCAATCTGAAGCAAGCATTGCATTTACTACAGGTTTCTTAGTGGGATTGTATCATGTAGCTGCACCGAAGGCATAAGTTAGAAATTCTGGTACCCAGGAAGGTTCAGTTCAAGTCAGAAACCATTTGGTATTTGTTATTTACCAGATCTCATAGCTGCTATGAGTGAAGACAAAGACATTCGTCACAGGAGATCAGTGTTCATTCACAATCTTAACCATGAGTCCTGTTCTTGGTACAGCTTCCCTGGTCTTCCCCTTTGCCAAGCCATGTTCTTAGGGACCAGCTGCCTTTTTCCACCTCTGCCTTAGCCATCTCCTTCATATGACCTCTTCTTGCCCTCCCTGGGCCAGGCCTCAGAGCCCATCATGACTCAGCTCTTCTGAGTCATGATTGCCCAAGTCTTTGTTGGCTAATGCCACCTTCCTTCATCATCGGTCTCGTCTGTGGCCACACACCACACAGGTGCACTTGACTCTGCTGGGTGAACCATCACACACAGGCAGTGGGCATGTTATTTTATATCAGAACAAGGCCTGTTCCACCCTTCGCTGAAAATCCCCTGAGGGAAGGGACCAAATTGTTTCTTGTATTTGTAATCCCTCCTCCCTCTCTAGAGAAAAAAATGTTTACACCTAGCACTTTTCTAAAGAAGGAAGTGGGGGCGGCCTCCCCAGAGGCGAATTAGGAGAGCAGGCAGGGTTCCAAATGGATGGGTGAAGCCAGAGGCGCCTCAGAACACCAGAGGAAGGCCAAGTATAATGTCCATTGACGTAACACCTTTTGCTTTTCAAATTTTGTAATTTTTCATAAGCTATCCCTGCTCTGAAGGTCCTTGCACATAGGGGCCTAACTTATCTTTTTTAATAATCGTGGAACTTAGCCGTTACATAGCCGTGAGAGGCCAGTTGGGAATAGCATAACCAGACTTATTCTCATTTCCCCTTCAGACCAAGCCAGTGGAGGAAGCATTGACTGGGCCTATGACTCTGGCATCAAATACTCATTTGCCTTTGAACTGAGAGACACGGGCCGCTACGGCTTCCTCCTGCCTGCCAAGCAGATCTTGCCCACAGCCGAAGAGACCTGGCTTGGCTTGAAGACCATCATGGAGCATGTGCGGGACCATCCCTATTAGGGCTCTGCGGGAATACACGCCATTAAAAGCTCTCTAGTTTGAAACAAAGTCGGCGAGTGATTATTCCTTTGTCGAATCCTGATTTAGAAGAATCCGTTCTTCAATTTATGCTGTCCTAAATTATAGTAAACCACTGAGCCATACTCCTACATCTTTAAAAAAAAAAAATCCATTCTTAGCAAAATGCTCCCAGTATCCTTTCAACATTAAAAAATGTGGTAAAATATACAAATCATAAAATTTACCATTTTAACCATTTTTAAGTGTACAGTTTAGTGGCACTGTGAATGTATAGTGTTGTGCAGTTATCACCACCGTCCATCTCCAGAACTTTTTCATCATCCCAAATAGAAACTCTGCACCGGCTGAGCAATAACTCCGTTCTTCCTCCAGCCTCTGATAACCTTTAGTCTACTTCTGTCTCTGAATTTGCCTATTCTAGGTACCATATTTAAATGAAATGACATAGTATTTGTCCTTTTGTGACTGGCTTAGTTCACTTAGCAGAATGCTTTCAAGGTTCATGCATATTGTGGTATGTGTCAGCTCCTTCATCTTAACAGAGTAGCATTTTAGAGCTAGAAAGGGACTTTTGAGTTCACATATTCAATAAGTACTGATTAAGCAACTACATTGTTCCAAGCACTATGGTAGGTGCTGGTTCCATTATTTACTTTGCTTTTCCACTCCTGGTGTGCTGCGCTATAGACACTGGTGGGGACTCAACCACTCCTTTCTGGTTGCCCTGTAATTTCCCTTCAGGCATTACTTTCATTAGGGGTTTACATTTTCTTCATGTAGATGGTTTTCTCTGGAAGAACAGGGTGCGAAGTGAATTCCAGCTTTCCTGGAATTCTGGATACTTGATTCTTTAGCTCACATCTCACAGATTCAGGTCTCAGGTTCTCTTTTTGGTAATTTCGAAGCTGAAATTTATCTTGGTGAAGGAGAGTCTCAGTCTTTGTGATGGACCAGGGAGGGAATAGGACTTCCCTTTCAGTGTGGGAAGGGTTGACCAGAATCGAACCAAGGACCTTCAGTATGCAGGCTGATACTCTATCCACTGAGCCTGGCTAGGGCTCTGAGTCCTCTTTTTGGCTTAGGCCCTAAGTCAGTCTTAGCAAAGACTCCTGCTAAGGAAACCATCCCACAGTCTGATATCTGATCAAGTTCCTTATCGTCCCCTTGTGATGTCTCAATCCTTGGCCTGCTTGTAGCAAGAATCCTGTTAGGTCAGTTAAGCAAGTATCCCCTCAACCCGTGATGTCTCTTATCAGTCGTCCGTCCACTGACTCCTCACTCTGCTGCCTTTACTGTATTCAGAGTTGAACACAATTTCTCTCTCCTAGCTCATGACCCCTACGGCAATAATTTTGAATTACTCTTTTTTAAAAATGTCAGAATAATGCGTGTTTTTTTTTAACAGTCCCAATCAGGACCCTTTTTGTGTCCACTCTCTTTAGCAAGTGCAGGAGGCGTGTAGATCACGGGATGGGGAAGGCTTGTGGGTTTGGGGCTCCTAGAACAGATCTGAAGGCCACAGAGCCCGGGAAGAGGTCGTGGAGATCACAAGTGTTTTCCATTTATTCTTCTGGGACGTGGCGGAAAGGACACTAGACTCAGAGTCTAGTAAATGTAAGAAGGTTTTATTTTTAATAATACTATTAAGATTTCACTTCGGCTCAGACCCTAAGGAAAAGAGATAATTTGTTCAGACATATCACATTCTTCCTATACCCTCTATCTCACAGAATTCTACTTTCTTCCTGGAGTCCTAAGAATTATGTTTCAGATTCCTAGCAGAGGCCACCAACTGTCATTGTTATGACCTGCTCTGGAGAGTTCTCTGACAGGTTGTCAAATATGTGGTCTTGGAGCTGGCTTGTGATTTCTTTGATACTCTTCACTTTTTAAAAGTACTCTAGAGATAACCCTGTCTTATATTTACAACCTGGCCTCTCCCATGACCATAAATCCTATTTATTTAAAAAAACAAAAACAAAAACCTCACTATTAAATACAGTGTTGAGCAATCTGGTACCTTTGGCATAGAGTTTTCCAGCCCGAGGAGCAGGTTTCTGATTCTGTGAATCAGGAGGCTCGCCTTTATCACTCAAAAGGAATGAAAGAGTCATGGGTAGGGGCCCACCTGTCGGTCATCAGAGTTGAAAGGCTACTTGGGAATCACACTGACATTTTTGAGGACTGAGTCTGCCTTAGACTCCTTATAAATACGGCTTGACTCAGCCAAGGTGTGACAGACACCTTTGGGACATGAAGTGGATACTGTTCTTTGCGGCCCTCATTGGGCTCAGCCTCTGTGGCCGAGACAAGTTTTTTGGGTAAGTTCCCTTTGGACTTAATATTACTGCTTAGTCAGTTGAGCGATACGGGAGGCAGATGAATTTGGAAATGAATGGCTGATGCTACTTCAAGCGGTTTGGCATGGAGAATAAAGCCCTGGACAAGTTACTTGTCTCTCAGGCTCCATTTTACCTGTGGAATCGGGATTGGTGGCCTCTGCAGTCCTCCCTAGCTCCCTAGTCTCCTGCCAATTATTTTTCCTTCCTAGTTCTTATTTGTCCTGCCAGTCCCAGGCATCTTCTACTTTCTTACTGCTGTATAGTATTATGAATTAACAAGAGTTACCAGAAATGGTTTCTGATTTCTATCCTCCTGCTGAAGGGAAAACCTAGGTCTTTGGTGTCTTGGTTTTACCTCTTTGTTAACAGTGAAGGCTTCATAGAGCTGGCGCGCTTTTTCATTAGTACCTGGGACATGGAGATGTGACAGGTCTTGCCGAGCCACAGCCCTGAAGATTGACACGCCAGGATACACCTGTACACTGTGTACACACATGCTACACACATAATGCTCTGCGGTTTGCAGAGGAGAGGACATTTGGGAGGTGGGAGAGATGAAAGGATGCCACGGTACCCCGCTGGAAGATTGGATTCTAATAACTCATTACTGCATAAATGCTTTGCCATTTGCAAAAAGCTTTCTCGCTCCTTATCTTCTGGATTACACAACAACTCTGACAGGCAAGGGTGTTATTTTCCTTAATTTAAACATGAAAAAAACTCAGCTTTGGGAAGATTAAGAAACCCGCCCAAGGCCACTTAGCTGGTAAGCAGGGGAGCTGGAACGACTGCAGAAACCATACCCTTTGCGGTAACACAAAGTAATCAGATAGAATCCTTTATCTCGCTGATTGATCTATATCTACCTGCTCACTCTATTATACTATCAGGCCAAAGGGGTTTTGGGGTTGTTTGCTGTGGTAATTACATTAGCCCCCCCTTATCTGTGCGGGATGCATTCCAAGACCCCCAGTGGGTGCCTGAAACCTCGGGTGGTACCAAACCCTCTAGATACTGTGTGTTTTCTCATACATACATATTTATGACAGTTAATTTATAAATTAGGCACAGTAAGAGATTAATTATAACTCACAATAAAATGGAACAATTATAACAACATGCTGTAATGAAAGTTACATGCATGTGGTCTCTCCCTCTCAAAATGTTTGATGGTTATGTACTCACCCTTCGTCTTGAGATGATGTGAGGTGATGCGATGAGGTGAAGTGAGGTACTCAGGACGGTGTGTAATTGAAAATGTATGAGTTGCTTATTTCTCCAAATTTTCATTTAGTAACTTCAGACTGCGTTCTTGGGTAACTGAAACCTGGAAAAGCAAAAACCGTGGATAAGGGGGAACCACTGTACTTATATGGAACTGAGTAGTTTTTATGGTGAAGACTTCTGCTCACACCTGGTCTCTACGACCAAATAGCTTAGAGGCCTTAGGCCCGGCAGGTGGCCAGGTAAGGAGATTTTCCTCAGGCAGTTCAGTGTAATAACTAACTTGCTGTCAAGCGGGCTGACACCTGGAGCTGTTAGGCTCCTGCTGAAGCCATTCAGGTGGCTGAGAAATCTTTATTTCTCCGGATACAGACTTCTCTTACAATGCAGGGGCATCCGGGTTGAGACAGCTGGGCTTAGCCCTGGAGTCCTCACCACAGGAGGGGGCACAGGAAGTGCGCCAGGGCTAATTGCAGATGGTTTTAATCATCAGTGCTGAGCTCACCCCCAAACTTGGTCTCACCCCATAGTACAGAACCCAGCAAAGATAGTGGAATCCCTTCTGGGGCCCATAGACATGTCCCAGAAGGGGAACATTTAGATCAAGGATAAGCTGGTCTCTGAGCATTCAAGAAGTTGGGAAGCCAGGGCATAGGTTGGCTTGGAGGGGGTACAGTGCTGAGGAGATGAAGATGATGGTTCTTCTCTGCCCCCTGGCCCCCCCCCGCGCCATTACCCCTCCCTCCCCCCCCAGCCACTCAAAGTCTCCACCCTAGGCTCTGTTCTTTCTACTCAACTCACTGACTTCCCTAGTCTGTCTCTGCTTGTGTCTTCTGCCTTGATCTTCAGGCATTTTAAGGATGGGAAGGTGGCCAAGATGCCTAGAGACGTGGGACAGGCAGAGAACAGGAAGTAGTTGCAGAACTAGTTGCGGCATCAACTGTAGCTGGCAGACATTGAAGAGTTTTGGGCGGCCGTCTCTCAGTATTCGTGGTAGATGCTAGACCTGGCTGGGGATGCAGCTAAGAAAGGTACAAAGACCAGGCCACTTGGGGAGGGACAGAAGCTCAGCACCAAGGGGACGATTGACTGTCCAGAACATGGGACAAGTGTGAATGAGTGAGAAGGGATCACCAGCCATTGTGTACGCGACAGTGGGACAGCCCTGGGTATCGGAATGGACCAGAGTTACCAAGAGCTGCAAAAATACCTGTGTGAAGTAGCGGGGTGAACATGGCAACCTGCAAATCCCATCAGATCTCCCCTCCCAGGCCAATCTTCCACAGTCAGAAGAGCTTAAGGTCTTTGAATGGAGTTCCAGGTGGTGGACATAGACTGTGTTCAGCTACCCACACTGGGAAGGGCATTTTGGACAATGAGGACAACAAAAAGGCTGCCCTTCACCTAGCGCCCACTTAGGTTCCAGGTTTTGATGGACCGATGTTTATGTAAATAATGTTA